TAGGGTTGTTTCCCCCCTCTTAGGCCTTGTTTGGCCTCATTTTTGTGCCTTTTTTATGAGCTTCGGGACCACCTTGTATTGGCCTTCTCACCACTGAAATCCCTCTGGATTTCAGTGGTGGGGATGGTGTTTTGAGGTCTTAAGAAGGAGAGGGTCATCTCCTCTCCTTGTTGTCTTCAATACTTGTCATATTTGCCTCATATGTGAGCACCTTTGTTAAGTTCATGTTGGCTATGTCTTAGCTGGTATTTGTGGTTATTTTTCTGTCATATGCCACTGTTTTTGCCTATCTTGGTCAATCCATGCTTGGTTTATACACTTGTAGTGTAAATTTTGCAAACTAGTTTTGTTTGCTTCATGTTTGAGTATGTCCTTCTAGCTCATGTTGACCTCATTTCAATGGATTTTTGGTCATATTTTGGCATGCCATGAATCTGTTTTTGGCTGGTTTGGTGGTCCCTCACATGCTTCATAGGCATATAGTGTAACTCATGCTTACTAGCTTACATTGCATGTTGTTTTGGCCCTCCATTCTAGCACATTTTGACCTTGCTCTAAATTGATTTTGTTCATGATTTGGGCTGCCTCAGTGCTGTTTTGTGGCCTCATGGTCAAAAAATGCTTGTCATGCATACTTGTTGTGTAATAGCATTGACTAGCTTTGAGTTTTGAGCACTCTTGCATGCCTAACTTGAAGTATTTGCATGTGTTGGCATCATTGAGCATGATATTTCAGAGCTTATAGGGGTGCTACACTTCCATATTTTCCAGTGCTCCTTAGAGTTGTGCTTGTATGCCCCATTTGTGAGCCATTGCATGAGCTTCATGTAAATGCATTCCGAGCCACCATCCCAACACATTTTGGCCACTGATTTTGGCATGCTTGAGAGCTACCCATGTTAGTGTAAGTCCATCTGTTTCATTTTGCATGTTGTTGTATGCTATACATGTCCACATGTTTAGGTTGTATGCCTATTGCATATTGCATGTTAACATGCTCATGTTACATTAGATTTGTTGCATACTTGAGTTATTTGCATGTTTGCTTGCTTGCCTAGGTTGCATTGCATTGTGTGTGCATCCCTTGCCTCTTGATCAATCATGATAGAGGTTGAGGCCCTTTATGTGTTTTGTGCATTTCATTCCATATCGAGTTGCACACTTGGCTTCTTTGGCCATCATGCATTGAAATGCGTGATCGATGGTCCGAGGGTCGAGAACTACATTCCCTTGAGTCTTAAACATGATAGGGAGGGTGGTTGTGCATACATTGCTTTGAAAATGCATTGCCATCCTCTGTTTGCCCTCTACTGCAGCAAAACAGGATTCTGCAGGAAGAGATGGCCGGTCGGCCATTTTCAGTGCCGGCCGGCCATGTATTGTTGGCCGAGAGCTCCACTTATGGCCGATGACGATTTTCCAATGGCCGGTGGCCTTTCTTTTTAGCCGGTGACCTTCCACAGTGCTCAGAAGGTGGTTCGGAAGCATCCTTGGGACTTGTGCAGTTCTCAGATGTGCAGAACAGTGTAAACAGAGGCAACATGTGGCATGGCAATGGGTTTCCGAGCAAGGCGAATCGAACATGCATCATCCCATCATTCCGAGGCAGGGCTGCGGCCACCTCCTTTTGTAATTAATTTGTTAATTAATTAAGGTTTTGTAATATTTAATTAGCTAGAGTAGTTAATTATTTATTTGGTTTGTATTATCCTTTTGGCCCCTCCGAGAGGGCGAATTTTGTAATAAACGTGCGTGTGTGTGATGCATGTCTTCCAACCCCACGTCTTTCTCTCTTTTACTTACCTGCTTTCAATGGCTAGTCTTACGGCACGTTTCAATTAGCATACTTATGGTAGCATGTTTGCATACATTCATTCGTATTGCACGCACCGGGCTTGGCGCATCATACTAATTGCATAGTATTTCAATTCCAACTTGAATACGTGTATCGAGTTGTCGCATTTCACATGTCATTCTTAGGGTAGCCGAGCCTATCTTAGTTGCATTTTGCATGTGTTGTATTAGCCATTGCTAACATGAACTAGAATCATGTATGATTACTAACTAGTTCCTTGTTTTGGCTCAGAGTACACTGTGAGTATTTATACTTTAGCATCTTGCATGTGTGTAAGTGTTAACATGACAGCATGCTTACCATGAGGCTATTTGCTTATGTGATATAACTGCTTGAATGCCTGTGGGTGAAGGTTGGATTGCTTGAATTGGGATAATTCATTAAAATCCGTGTTTTAGCCTACTTACAAGTAGCAAACTTCAAATCATTTTCCAAACAAACGGATATGCGATGCTTTGTTCCAAATTAGGCGATCTAGTCTATACTTGTTTTGTTGCGCGCATCACATAATAATTCTAGCTAATTAATCGGAATAAGACCGCATATGTTTTCAAAAACGAGATATCATGTTTAGTAGTGGCCGATCTTTGATCGGGCGAGCGGGAGTGCTCATAGTTGACCTTCCCTAATCGTACCCAAGTTCCCGAGCCGAGGCAACTTTGGTGATGACGGACACGTGGCCTTAGGCACGAGTCAGGGTTTCCTAAATTCTCCTAAAAATAAAATATTTACGTGGCGACTCTGTATCTGACAAAGCAGTCCATGTTTGGCACTTCTTTCTAAAAATCAGTTTTTCAAAACGATTTGCCGGATTTGGACTCTTTAATGATTCATCGGTCTTGCATTGCACTCTGCGAGATTAGATACAGGCCCGTGACATTGAGTCCGAACAGTAGTAAGCCCCAATGAACAAAACAGGATTCCCTTCTGGGACATTAGGGGACGTCTACAGCTGGTCTATTCGACCATAGGTTCTAATAGGATAGGTACTTCTACAGGATGTGCTATCACATTATCCTCTAGATTAGGTATTTCTACATCTACCTCCACACCTTCTTTCAGGCGTTCATTTTCTCCTTGTCTCCTACATCTAGCCATTTAAATATGTCCCACCGGGCATGCAAAAATATATGTTGGCTTTTTTGGCTTTCGAAGGTTAGTATTGTAATTTTAAGTGTACTAGCAAGAATCAATCAGTCCTCATAGAAGATTAATTGCCAACCAATTATCAGACGATTATGTTTTAGTTCTTTCAGTCTCAATGAAGAGGACTTTTACTGATGGCTTGTTTAGGAGAATTTAGTAAACAACAATTAAGTGAAGAAAATCACAGAATTTCATTAAGTAAAAATGAAGAAACTTACAATGATATGACCTAGACTTGTAGAGGTTTACAGTAACAAGCTATTCAAAACTACTCCTATGAATGAAATGCAATACAGGAATTTGAAGTACAGAAATGTAAAGAACTGTAAAAACTGAAAAGGAAAATAAAGTAGATAAAACTGATTTTTTTATCTGAGTCTGGATCTCCCTTTCTGGGGCCTTTTCTGCTATTTATACTTCTCAATGATAACAGTCGAAGTGGACTCCTAACCGTCGAAATATCCCTCAATGATCGCTGATCATGCTTTCTCACGGTCAACTCCATTACGCTATATTTGCAGTTAGGCTTCCTTCATGATTTTGAATTTGAACCTTGTGAGTAACTGTTAGGGCACATTACCTTATATCCCTCGATCATTCCAGTGTTACGCAAACCCATTATTACCAATATGGGTTGACACGTGTCTAGAGCTGCAAATAAACCAAGCTGTTCATGAACAAGGTCGGTTCGGCTCGACTCGTTAAGGGCTCGACTCGGCTCGGCTCTCGAATATTAGGCTCGTTTAGTAAATGAGTCGAGCTCGAGCTCGCATAAGCTCGGCCCGTTTATGTTTATTTAAATTATATAATAAATATATTATTTAATTATTAAATAATATATAAATATATATAAAAATAATAATATAAATACATTTTTTATATATTAAATAATATAAATAATATTTTTTAAAAAATATTTATATTTAAATAATATAAACAATATTAAAAAAAATTATCGAGCAGAGCCGAGCCGAGCTCGAGTTTCATTAAAATTAACGAGCCAAGCCTAGCTCGAGTCCAGTTCCTTATCAAGCCGAGCTCGAACTGAATAAACGAGCTCAAAAAGTAAACGGGTCGAGCTCGAGCTCAGCAAAGCTCAGCTCGGCTTGGCTCGGTTCGTTTGCAGCCCTGCACGTGTCTGACTATGGTTGGCAATTTATATTACCTTCCCAAATTATCCTTCTCATGCCACGTATTGAATTGTGATTGACTTATATAATTTATACAGCCAACAGTTATGCTAGAGATCCTAAATAATTTATCAAATTTTTTACCAAACTTCTCATATAAATGTAGAACCTACAAAGATATAAATTTATATCGGTCCCACTCCATATAAGAAATTTGATAAAAAATTTAGTAAATCATTTGGTCCAGAGCATTTTCCTATAATTTATTTTGTTAAGCCTCCGTTTGGGAAGTAGGTAGACTTTTTGACTTTTTTAACTATTTTAACCTGGGCTAAAAGACTTAGTTTGGGAAGGACTTTTTAACTTTTTTTTATGAAAAAATAGTGTAATAATTATAAATTAAATGTGATATTTTATTTGTTGTGCTTAGGAGATTTCATTGGCTGTGGTGATCATCACATGTTGGTCGTGCCAATCCCCAATGATTGGCAGGACGTGGGTCAACATGCAATTTCTTCCCAAACCAAGCTTTTAAGCCCAGGCTAAAATAGTCAAAAAAGCCAAAAAGCCAAAAAGCCAACCCACTTCCCAAACGGAGGCTTAGTTTGGGAAGGACTTTTTAACTTTTTTTTATGAAAAAATAGTGTAATAATTATAAATTAAATGTGATATTTTATTTGTTGTACTTAGGAGATTTCATTGGCTGTGGTGATCATCACATGTTGGTCGTGCCAATCCCCAATGATTGGCAGGACGTGGGTCAACATGCAATTTAAAAAAAGACCAGGGGTGTTTCTGATAATAAGACAAGTCGTCAAACCCCAAAAAAAGGGCCCCCCCCCCCCCCCCCAAAAAAAGAAAAAAAAAAAAAACATAAAATAAAATAAATTTCAATTTCAATCGACATCCACGCCCCTGGCCAAATTAAAAACAAAAGCTCATAATCATCATCATCAGGTCCAGCAAATCCTCGTCTCTTCTCTCTCACGTCACATTCTCTGCAAATTCAATCCCCAAATCTCACATCAAAGGTACATCTCTCTCTCTCTGGAAATTGTGACTCCCCTCTCTCCCTGTCTCTCTCTCTCACACACACACACAGCAAGTTTCAATGAAATTTTGACTTAGGGTTCGTATATCCCTAATATAATATGTACTTGTTTGTATATCTATGTATAATATTGTGTTTACCATTCAATTGTGGTTGGTAATTTTGGTTGATCGTTGCTTTGACTGATTCGAGGAAATTGAGCTTGAATTGTGTAATTTGTGCGGGGTTGTTGTGGTTATAATTTTTTGATTTTGGATTATTTAGAGTTTGATATGGAGTTGGTGTTTATCTTCAGGGGAAGCTGTATATGCAGGACTTTTGAAGTTTGAGTATGTTTTTGGTGAGGAATTGATTGGGAGTTGAGAAGATGTATCGGCCTGTGGCTGCCACCACTACCCGGGGTGGATTACCGACTGATAGTGGGGGGGATTCTGTGGTGACTCTGGACCAAGTTCCGCGTTGGATTGATTCCGAGTTCAGGTTTTCGTACGAGAATGAAGATCCCGCCTTTCCCAATTCCTACTTTCCGGACCACCCTTTAACTTCTCCAGCAGGGGCAGAGAGTAGTGGAAATGGAATGGTGTCCAGGTTTCCCATGGATCACGAAATCAACTCGAAGATTTATCTGTGGAGGGGCAACCCTTGGAATCTTGAGGTGGATGCTGTTGTTAACTCCACAAATGAGGTGATCAATAGTTACTTTGTAAAGCAGTGTTAGTTGTGCGAGTTGGTGCCGTCTCTAGGACGGTGTATTTACAATGATGGTTATGTGGTTGAATAAAATAAATGTCTATTTTTAGAAACTGACACCTTGAATTTCTATTCCTATCTTTATATGGAAAGGGATATGATTAGAAAGCCCGTTTGTGCATCTAGGCATGTTTAAATGTGCTACAAAAGGGTAAATCGTCGGCTGCTTGGTTCACCGAATTTGGTTATATGATAGAAGCATGAATGCAGCAGTTTAGGTTTCATTTCATGGGCTCTATAAGTTCTCTGAGCTTTTAAAACCCAAAGTTATGATTGTTCTCCTTGGACCTTGGAATCTTGAAGTTTATAGAAAGTTTGCGAACTTCCTTTAAGCACTTATTGCATGCAAAAATAAATGAGACCTTTGATCCTTTTTACGAAATTATGTGAGATTCTCTGGAAAATTTTGCCACCTAATTTCATGCAATACCAGCATTTTCATCCATTCTGGAATTCCAAATTCATCGAATTTAATTGAATCATAATCTATTTATCTGACTTTTCTTTAGGGATCACTAAATGCACCATAGGACCAGTTCCATTTCTTTCCAGCAGAACAAACAGTGAAATATTAAGTTTCAGTTCATGTTCACATTAACAGTGTCAGACTTAGATTACTAACATACGAATGCATGTGTTTTTTTTCTGAGTAATTTCTCAATTGGGTGGTTGACAGAACTTGGATGAAGCACACAGCAGCCCTGGTTTGCATGCTGCAGCTGGACCTGATCTTGCAGATGAATGTGCAACATTGGTAAGTTGTTCGTATATCAGAAGACTTTTTCAATCATTTTTTTCCCCTTGATCCTGTTTCTTTCATTTGTGGTTGTTATTTGGAGATGCATTTATTCTTTGGCATACCTGTGTATACTTGGTTTGCAATATTGGTAAAAATATAGTTGTTACTCTTTTTGCAAATGTAAAATTTACAACGAAAAAATGTGTCATAACATTCTCATTATAGTTAATTGAGAAGTACTTTTTTGATGAAACAATTTTTATTTTGGATCTAAAATGAAGCAAGTTGAATGAAGCTATTGTGATAGGTATTAAGATGGAACTTTATGGAAATAACTAATAAGAAATGTCAAAAGCTGAAAAGACTTGGTGTACTTTGTTTCTTCACAGGGTGGCTGTCGAACGGGGATGGCAAAAGTTACCAATGCATATGGCCTTCCTGCTAGGTGAGTGTAGTGGTTTAGCTTCCTCAAGTAATCTGCTTGTACTTATCTGACTAAATTTGCATATTTACATTAACAATGGAGAAAGCCAGTAATGCATTGAAGTATTGTATTAATGCGAAGCAGTAATTTATACCTTTTATGCTCTATTCATGCACTTTGTTTGAGTACCAATTGCAACAACGACAAACTCAATTTGTGATAGTTTGAGATGCAAATTCATTGACTTAATACTGAATTGCATTTCTACTTTTGTTAGGAGGGTTATGCATACTGTGGGTCCCAAGTATGCTGTAAAGTATCATACCGCTGCAGAGAATGCTTTGAGTCACTGCTATCGGTCTTGCCTTGAACTTCTCATCGAGAATAGGCTTCAAAGGTTAGTTGGTAGACCCATGCCACACCCTTTTCTTTATTTTATCTTTGTTTTTCTGTTTGGTTTCATTTTTGTCAAACTGGAGTTTATTATCTTATACATATATCAATGCAGCATTGCTATGGGCTGCATATACACAGAAGCAAAAAATTATCCTCGTGAACCTGCTGCTCACGTGGCAATAAGTGAGATACGTCTTAGTTCGCTATTACGCTATTATGCTATTACAATTCTTCATCACGTGCTTGCGAGTGTGAAAATATTTCAGTTACTATCATTCTGTTTCAAATGACACCTTATCAAATTTCAGTTTGGAAAGTTAATTGTTTCTTGTTTCAATCGCTATGATCAAATTTATTCCCTCACCTTTTATTTATTTATTTAAATTTATCTAGGAACCGTGCGACGGTTTCTTGAGAGACACAGAGATGAAATAGTGGCTGTTGTTTTCTGTACTACGACGTCAGTTGATACTGAGATATATAAACGGTATGTCATTCTTGTTTTTTGTTTGTTCCATTAAAGCAATGTGGGTGTTTTACATTTTTGTATGTCAATATCAATACGAGACCTCTCTGGGTCTAATGGCATTTGACTGTTACAATTTTGTTTATTGTTGATTACTTGAATGTTGAAAATTCATGGATTATTCTCGCTTTATTCAAAATCTAGATTGCTTCCGCTTTATTTTCCTCGGGATAAACATGAAGAGGAAGTGGCCATGGCAAAGCTTCCTGCAGATGTTGGGGATGAAAACGGCGAGACAGTTATAGATGAACGTAAAATCAGAATAAAGCCTTTGCTCAATGTGAAAAAAAGTGTTTCGAAACCTCTTCAAGCATCAATGGATCTTCCTGCCAGTGATGTTGGGTTGATGAAACGGTTGGTGAATTTAAAAGCTTAATATAAACTTATACACCTTAAGTGCTCTCTCTGTCACTCTCTGTCTCTCTTCTTTTATTCTCCTTTTTATTAAGATTGTTTGATTATGTAAATATTGGAATTGCCATAATTAAGCTGAATGTGTGTGCTTGTCGGTCAGCAATATGTTTCATAGTCCAATTTCCTATGCATTTTGTTCTATATGTTTACAAATTCTGATTGTTTACTATGGTACATAGAGTTGAGTACATGTATTGGGTGAGGATATGTGTCTTAAGTGTCAGATTCATCTAATCTTATGGCCAAGGACATGGGAACATGGCAAAATATTTGTATTTGTTGAAATATTTTTTTATTTTCTAGGGTAAAGTGGTGTTTACAAGGTGCCATAGAACATTTCAGGCATCATATGGGGTTATATGCATAGTTTCATGGTTAACTCGAATTACTAGACATGCTTGTTAGGTGAATGTCCAAGTATACATGTCAATCGCACATGTCATATTCTTCAAGTGTCAAGTGTAGGACACGGGGTACATCATACATTCAGAAGACTCCATGTAACATAAGTTGTTTCCAAGATTTCATTGTTGAGTATTGTGTTACAATTTGAGTAGTTTGGTCTAATGTTCCAATTTTTCCCCTATATAGAAATATAACGAGAAGGCCATAAGGAATATGGGTCTTGGTGGTGAGAATTAGATACAATTGGCTGTTGTCTAATAGAGAATATGGAATTTGTAGCCAAAGCCATCTACTGGAAACTTGGGATATGTTCAGTAGAGTTGAGCTGATTCGGACGGCAACGCTTAGGCCAAGTTTGAGAAGACTAAATAAGTGTACTTTTTGACTTTTTTTGAAATATGGGTTGGATTTGAGTTGGGTTTGAAGTGATGTGTTAGAGAGGTGATGTGACTTAAATAAGATGATGTGACTTAAATAGGATAGTGACTTTTTGACTTTTTGAATTTTTTGGAGGATGCCAAACTTGACCTTATTGTGCTGCTTATCATTATTATGATAAACTCATGCAGTCCTTTAATGAATCACCCTTCTCGTTTTCACTATTAAAGTTGAAGTAGTTTTGATGAGTTGGTAACCAAGGTTCAGACAGACATTTTACCCATCTTACAATAAGTTTCAAGATTCTGGTGATCTTGCTACATTTAGAAAGAGGTGCTTTGCTAAAAAGCTTGGCATGTCTAGTGATAGGCTTGAAAAATGAAAGCATCAAGAAAGAAACTAACATGAACAATGTGCAATATGAAGTGATGAATTCACCATGATAAATTTCATTAATTTTCATGGATAAATTAATTTTTTGAGAAATCTTGGATACCATTCTAGTTGAGGAACCATTCCAACCAAAGTGGGGCCCAGGGGCTTTTATATTTTATTTCTTTTGGGGCTTCCCTTCTACATGTTTATGTATATGATTGCATTGGAAAAGTTGGTGTAACATTTTCCAGATTAATTTTGGACTTACAACCCCATTGCTTCTCACCTAGATACCGAATAATGTAGTTATACACAACTTTTTGTTTTCTTTGTTCACTGATTAGTGTTTTTATTTATTTATTGTTTGCTGTGTATTTGTTTCTTAGAGAAGTAAAAGCTATTTTTATCACCGAAGCAGCAAAAGAAAGAAAAAAAAAAAGTTGTTGCTATATATTATCAAGCACTTTGTTGTTAAACAAATTGATGTTATGTGGTTATGGGGTTTCCATATGCTTGCATATGTTTTGTCTTCCTCTGTTCCCTCTTTCTCTTTAAAATTCATTGTTCCCTTTCTTATCAACCTGACTTATTGGATGATTGTTCTGAACAGGAACTCATCATATTTGGATTCATATTTAGATCCTGCTTTCATGTCCCTGATTAAGGATCCAGATGAACGACGGAAGGAACAATGGGAAAAAACTGCTCAAGCACAGAGTGGATGGAATTGTGCTAAAATGCTCGGATTTGGTGACCTTGGTGGGCCTCCAATGTCAGCTGCTGAAGAATACTCTATTCATTCTCGACATCTTGCTAAAGCAAATTCTGTTAACCTTTCTGAAATTGCGGAAATGAAAATTGTGTAAGCATATGTTGGCTGTCCTTTTTGTGGTAGTAGTAGAACACCTTCATTTTTGCATTTGCATTGATTTTCTCTATAATTCTTTGTAAAAAGAACAATTAATTCCAATTAAATCAACCCCCCCTCCCCCTCTAAAAAAAAAAAGAAAAAAAAAGGAGAAAGATAAAGAAAACTCCCACCAATCGTTGACTAGTGTTTTTTTTGTTGTTGTCGAAAACTTTAAAATTGTTAATTAGTTGAATTATTAAATATTAAGTGATGTTTAGATTTTTGGTGACAAGTGCATATCAAAGAAATTTTTTTTGTGACAAAAAGATCGCTTAAATATAAATAAATTTTCAGAAAAATGACAGGCACAAATTTTGAGGCTGTGTTCTCTTAAATAAAATTTTTCTTGACATCCTATCAAATTTGTAATATATCTCCCATTCTACTTTTTTTGTTACTCATAACTTGTATCATAATTTTTTCATATAATATGTGCCCATACGCCCACATGGAAGTTTTTTTTTCTTCTAAAAAATTATAATGTTTGACTAATAGAACATGCAAAAGGTTGGTTTATAATGATTAGATTGTTAAGTTGTTTGAATGAATGTCTTATTCTTTTTAGATGCTTAGGTTTACCTAGCTTTTAGCATGTCTCTACTTAGCTGTCTTTATTTTGAAGCATAAAAAGTTATTCCATTAAAATTCTGAAGTACCATAAGATGAAAACCTTATTGTAAAGTTCTTGTCCTGCAAAAGTTCTTTTGAGTTTTCAAGCATCTGTTTTAAGCATGCGTAATATGGTGCATATGGAAAGCAAGTATTCATGTTGCCCTTTCTTTCTTTTTTCAGTTACCGCGGGGGGATTGATAGTGAGGGTCGTCCAGTGATGGTTGTTGTGGGAGCACATTTTTTGCTGCGATGTCTTGATCTGGAGCGATTTGTGCTTCACGTAGTAAAGGTGAAGGGACTACTTCCTGCCTCACTTGCACTGTTTGCAGTTGAATTTATTTTTCACGTCTTTTAAAGTGATCCTTGGCATTGGAACCTGCATGCTGCATGCTTTTCTTTGTGTTGCATTTGGTCTAAGAAGCACAGGCACTTCTACGAAGAAGGCGTTGTGTGTCCAACACTTCTTTAATGTGTCTTATTTAAGAATTTAAATTTCATAGTATTAAACACTTCAGTGACGTGACGCTTCTTAAACCCTCTAAACACGACCTATGTGATGAATTATTTCATAGTAACAATGTTCTCCATTCTTTGGAATGCAATTTGTACACTTTAAATATATTTTGAAAAATTTATAATACATCATGTGTATTTCAATGTTCGACAATTCTGTTAGAATGCAATTGTTATGTGAATGATATCTAAATGTTTAACATATGGAATATATGACTTTTAAATTTTAATTAGTTAGTGTTGTGTTTCTTTTATTTTCATTACCTTTGAATGAACTATTCTTATATTTGACATATAATAAATTTATAAAAATAAAAATAATAATAAAAAAATTAATGTAAAAAAGCATATTGTGTTCTGCATTTTTTGAAGATTGATGTGTTGGCATGTCGTGTGACTGTGTCTTTGCTATTAGCATTTGGTCTTAAACTCTGGTGGTTCATTGACTATGCTCTTTAGTATTGGAAATTAGAAGTAAGGGTAAATTGTTCTCAATTTTGAATTTCAGGAGTTTGAGCCCTTGATACAGAAGCCTTATTCCATTGTTTACTTCCACTCTGCAGCATCTTTACAGATGTAAGTATTGCATATTTCCCTAGTTGACTTTCACTTTGTAGTATCTTCAGTAAATTTGCTGCTTCTCTGATCAATAAGTCGTAAAGTACTTCTCTGCAATTCAAATGATGTGAGATAAGTAAAATTATTGGAATCGGCAAGAATCGTAGTTAAAGTTTTCAGCTTTTTACTCTAAATAGAAGTGAAGGAAGGATAGTTTTGTTTTGTGGCTTTGTATGGCTCTAAATAAAGGTTTGCTTGCGTTTAAGAACTACTTGAATGAGCTTAGCTTTTTACTGCTGCTAATTGACACTCTTGGCTCCTGAGGTGATATTTTTGGACACATGACCAACATACATATTCTAATTCTTTATTTTAATTATTTTATTTGACCCCATTTGTGCATTAATGCAGTAGTGTCTCCCTAAATTTTAAACTAAATTAAATGGCAGCCAGTTGCATGAGATTCCCACCACTAAATCTTCTGGAAATAATGAATTCTGACACATGCTGAATTTTATTTTATTTTAATTTTTTCAAAAGTGGCATTATCTTGGTGGAGCTTTAGCAATTCATTTTTCCGCTCTAAATCTATTATTGTTTTGTTCACCTTTTGACTTCTGCATCTTGGAGTAAATAGGCAACCAGACCTTGGATGGATGAGGAAGTTACAACAAATACTTGGTCGCAAACACCAGCGTAACCTTCATGTATGTGATAGTGAATCGTTTATCCAATTGAAAATTTACATTTCTTTTATTTATTTTCTAAATTTATCCTCTCCCTTTGCAATGTAGGCAATTTATGTTCTTCACCCGACATTTGGACTAAAAGCTGCAATTTTTGCTCTGCAACTGTTTGTAGATAGTGTGGTATGTTGAGTCCTTGTTAATTAGTGTTTGGAGCATAAACCTAATTAACTTCTCTTTTAGGGAGCTTATTAAATTATTGAGAATTGACGTATAGGTATGGAAGAAAGTGGTATATGTTGATCGCCTTTTGCAGCTATTCAGATATGTTCCTCGTGAGCAGCTGACCATCCCCGACTTTGTGTTTCAGTTGAGTTTACAGTGCTATTCTGAAATTTTGTTCTTCTATTACCCTCCGTTTGTTTGGCAGAAAATATTTTTTGTATTTTTTGGCATTTGGTACGATTGAAAACGAGAGTCTTAACGGAAAATAAGCTTATTTGGGTAAAAATGGTTTTTTACTTTTGAAAGGTGGAAAACAAAAAATATTTTTCAAACTAAAATCTTACCACCTCCCCACCACTAACCTCCACCATCTCACCGCCACTAGCACATTAAGTTTCAAAGTCGCAACCAAAAATGTTTTTTTGCATTTTCTGCTATTTGGTACGACAGAAAATGAAATTTAACGGAAAATAAGTTTATTTGGGTGGAAAATGTTTTTTATTTTTGAAAGGTAGAAAGCGTTTTACGGTGACTAAAGTTTTACCGCCACTAACACCAGCACTAGCACATGAAGTTTCAAAGTCGCAATTGAACATCAGAAATTTTTTTCTATGGAAAATATTTTTTCTAAAATTCTTGAAAACATTTTTTGTCAAAATAAACAGAGCATTCATTTAATCAAAAGATTCTGATTTGAGGCTACCCTATTATTTTTGTTGTTGTCCAACTTGTTGATCCTTGCTAGACGATTGATTCTGTGATCAAACATTGGTTCCATACTATCTTTTGTTATTTGGACAACAGTTTTGCTCTGCAGTGATGCTGAACAAAATGTCAACAAAATTTTCATTCCGAGTTTTCAATTTATGTGTCGATGCAGGCATGATTTGGAAGTGAATGGAGGGAAGGGCCTAATTGTGGATCCTAGAACAAAATATGTATATCCTCGAACATAGTTTTATTGCGATTCAAAATTGGAGCAAGTGTTTGAGCTGGTCTTCATGATTGCGTTTTCTTCATTTCTATGCATTTTTTTTGTCATTTCTTCCCATTTTATTGTCTAAAGGTATCGGGGTTATATGTGTTTTTATTTATAAACAAGTCAGCTTTCATTTTATTTAATTTTCTCAAAATTTAGAATTTTTTTATTTTTGAAAATATTTCCGGATGAATGTTCTGTATAATGTTTGCAGATGGAAATAAAGCAGCAGCTTCTTTTTTCCTCTCCTGAAATTTCTTGTGCCTTGGATGAGTCAATAATAATATATATTTGTATGCATTGAGCATTAGTGATGGATTATGGAGTCATCTATTCTTAAATTTGAAGTTTATACCTGTTTTTTTCCGAGCAATAGAACCACCCTTCCAAACTAACGATATTATCCCATTGGCCCCGACCGGAGTTTTTGTAATTACTAGGAGGTGTATTCTGTCTCACTCAAGTATAATATTTTTATTTTATCTTTTTTGTCTTTAAAAATAAAATAGATGACAAGTATATTTTTAAAAATATATCATCATATTTTTAGATAAATAAAATAAAATATAAATGTTATAATTATTGAATTGATTTAATTTTTTTACACGATTGATGTATATAGGGAGTAATAAAATGAAAGATTTTAATTATTGAAATAGAATTAATGATTCGAATTATTGAAATAGGATTTATGAAAGAGAGTGAGAAACTGTTGAACTATTTTTGTATTTACATCTGTGATATATTAATTTGTTTCCTTAAAATGTAACGGTCTCACTGTAAAGAAGGGGGTAGGGTAGGAAAAGAAATATATATATATATATATATATATGTAATTCTCATCTTTTTGAGAGCTTCTAAATTTTTCTCTACATCCGCATGGCGAATACTTTATTTTAAAAACACAAGTTGTATAATTTATATGATAGGAGATCAAAATAAATAAATTAATAAAAATTGTGTATGTCTGTTCAAAGAGATTAAAAAGTGTTTTTAGAAGCTCCCTCTGTCTTTTGTGAATCAATATTTTACCACACTTTGTACTTAGAGTTTCCATCAAAGATAGCAAGAATTAGGGGTTGTTTGGAATGACCTAAATAAGTGTATTTTTTGTCTTTTTACAAAAAGATGTGCAGAAAAGTAGAGAAGTGATGTGATGAAAAAAAGATAAAAAGATAGATTATTTTGTAGTAGCCAAACTTAGCCTTACTATATATGTAACAGTTGTAAAGAGATTTTTTCTCTATTTTTTCACAAGATATTTTGGGAATTTGCAAGATTATTTCCCATACATATCTACTATTTATCTCATACATGTAATTATTGAGTATCTGACTTCTCATATAAAAATTAAAATTTACAAACTCAGTTAATTTGTATGAAAACAAATTTAAGATATATATTTAGATCTCTGTTTGTCAAGAATATAATTCATTATCCCCTTTGGTGGGACTCACATAAAATCTACTTTCATTAACTAAACCGTTCATCTTGTCAAATTTCTTATTGAGTACATCATTATAAAATAAAAAATTAAATCAAATGTTAATATTATATGATCACATCATATCATATTTAAAGGAATGGGCATTGTTGGGTTTCATGGAGCCACCACAAGCTCCACTTTGACAATATCAACTTGATGATTTGAATGGTTTAATTTACTAAACTATGTGTGTTAATCATTCATAGAACTTTTAAATTAATCTAGTAATCATAACATGATTTTATTAGATTTGCCAACAATATATATATATATATATGCATTTTTAAAATTATTATTATCGTCTATTTTTTATAGACAAATACCATCTAAACATATTGATATATTTGTCAAATCAATTTGATTTTTTTCATAAATAACCTAAACACGTTCAAATAAAATAAACAGTTAAAATCGTTGAAGATAGACCCATGGTGGATCCCACCAAACCCAGCAATTCTTTCAATTTTTGTGGATTGGAGATCCACATCTTATGTAAAAAAATAAATTATTTATTTTTTAATGTCAAATATGACTGGATTATTATTGTAGATATCTCATTAATTTGATTTTTCATATAAAAATTACTTGGTAAGACATTATTTGACACTTCTTACAAAAGTGTTTTTTTTTTTTTATCTTTTATCTTTTTTTTGAATTATATTACTTCTTTACTCTTTTTGTAAATTTTTTATAAAATGTTAAAAAGTATACTTATATATATATATATATATATCATCCCAAATATCATTATTATTTTGATAAGATGGTTAAAAGTTGACTTTTTTTAAGTTTTTAAAAAAAATTTATAAAAAAAATAGGAGAGACGATGTGACTCAAACTAAATTAAAACATCTTCTCAAAATAGCTCAAGATGTTGCGAAATAAAAATTTCACGTCTTGAAAGTAGACCACCATTACGGGACTCTCATCCCCATTAGTCTATGCTATTTTAATAATTTTTAATTTTTTTATAAAAAGATTTATAAAAAAATTACTAAAATCTAGTGAACAAAAAAAAAAAAAAAAGAATTTTGGGGTTAACAACTACCAAACAGCTAAGAAGATTTTCAAGTTTTTTTTGTTGTTGTTGTTTTTTGGTAAGTAATACAGGTATAAATATATTTATTTGTGTGTATCTTTATTATCTTTACATATATAGTTGTACGGTTTTAAATGTAATATTTAATTTTCATTATTATCTTTACCGAAAAGCAAGGGAGGTGGAGAAAATCTAGAAATGTTCATTTCTTTTCATTTCCTCAAAAACCCAGAAAATTTTAAATTGGAAAAGAAAAAATGAGAGAGTGAGAGAGAAGGAAGAGAGAGCAGAGAATAAAAAGAGACCGGATGTTGACAAATTTTCATGTCACTGTTCTTAGAAGAAGGTCGTTTTTTTTTTTTGTTTGTGTAGAATTCTTATCTAGGATCTCTCTTTCTCTCTCTGAAAATAAAAAATAAAAACTCATTCTTTTCTCTCTCTAAAAACTTTCTCTCTTTCAGAGACTGGCCCAGCAGATCGAAATCTCCATCTTTATTCCTTCTAGTTGTTGACGATCTAAGCTTCTTGTAATGGTGTTACCAAAACACCCACTTTGTTTTTCTTTGTATTTATTATTAATCTTTCTTATTCTTTTTTGCCCTTTTGGTAGTGCCAGTCTCTGACTCTGAATTTCCACGATTCTTTAGTTATTGGGCATAGGACGTACGGCTGAATTATTGAATCCATAAGGGTTTCTTGAGAAGAGTTGATTGCAGGATGTAGGTCTGAGGTAAATTTTATACACTCTTGCTGTTTAATTAGATTTACAGGTTTTTGATTTCTTGGGTATGGTGGGTTTCTGAATTTGATAATATATTTAATTGGGTTTTAATTATTTTCTAGTTTCTTTTTTTGGGTTTGTCAGATTATTGGCTTAGATTGCTTTGAACAATTGTTTTGTGCATTTTCTATATTATATCTAGTGAGACACTTTATTGTAATCTGCTAATTTGGTTTTACTGTTGATGAATTTGATGCACTTTATTGTAATCTGCTACTTTGGTTTTATTGTTGATGATTTTGATGGGTATTTGGATTTGACGAGTCTTCATTTTTTATTTTTGTAGGATCTGTTCTAAATTCTTGTTTTATCTAGTTTAACTGCTTGTTGATTTGCAAAGGAAAAAGTTGCTGCTTTCCTTACTGATGATAGGGTTGTACTGGAAATTTTTATTATGGTGTTCATATTTTTTTGTTAAATTGATCTTATGCTTGATGGTTACTATCTTAATTTTAAGTGAGTGGTTTCAATTGCATTAGTGAAGTTCGTGGTTCCTTGCAAATAGAAGGAAGGTCTTTATTGCTCAATTGAATTTTGAATTTTCTGATAGATTGTTTGGGGACAACAGTGGTTCAAGTTCAGTTTTTTATCCTAGTTTTGAGGGAAACTTTCCACTTGTGACCTGCTGATGCCTGTTGAAGTGCATTACTTCCAAATCCAGAAGTCTATTAGTTGATTTATTCAGTTTTTTATAATTTGTTTGTGCATTAGAAGATATTTTGTTGCCATTATATGGAGATTTAGACGGCGTAGATGAGCAAATAGTTGTGTTCTCTAATTTATCAAAAAAAAAAAAGTTGTGTTCTCTAGCTGTCTTTCCCACTTTGTTTTTTACATCGTGTTCAACTCTAGGTACTATAATTAAGTTAATATCTTATGCATCTCTACAAGCTGTCTTCTCTTTTTCTATTTCTTCTTCTTCCTCTTTAACTTGAATCTAACCTAGCTAGCTGTCTCTGAGTATCCTATCGTAGTGTGTAAACTTTTATTATTCAAGTTTTAATGGTATTGCATTTTTGAGCTTTTGGTGTTGCTGTCCCAAATCACCAAGAAATGCAGATTTGGATCATTGTTATTCTATAACCTGACTGTGTATACCATTGCTTTTTAGTTTTTATGGTGTTGTGAAGTCAAGTTACAGTCTAAGCATTCACCTTCGGCCCTATAATTTTGCCCATAGGTGTATTAAAGCAAGAGGACCATTACTGGATGGTAAAATTTGTAAATGATTGCTGATCCTAAAACTGTAACCCCTGGTGAAAAATTTTACGTATGCTTAATCATGTGGTCATGATGAAGAGTATGCTACTTATCAGGGTGAAACATATAAAGAATATGCCAAACTGATTTGCTGATGGGTTCAGCACAGTTTTTCTATGGATGTCATTGGCTAGGAAAAGAACTTCAGTGCGACTTTGATATACTGAGAAAACATACCATAAAGTACACTCTGCAATGGCTCTACAAGCATGGGGCGATGAGTTCTCTCTGTAGCATATTGCAGCATAGAAGAAACCTAACTTTTATGAATTATTCATTTAGTATTGGAATGTATAAAAAAGTTACATTCGGGTCTTTTGATGAGAAGGGATGTCTTCCTCTTGTACCGTTGGAATGCTTGCTATGTTCTTCTCCTTTTGCTACGTTGTTTGACATACCATAACTATAATATTTGTAAAAGGACTTGAACTCTAAAAGATAATGTTTGCTTTTCTTTTTTATTAATATGGAAGATTATGTTTATCACCACTGCATTTAACCATGAGGTGAATTTTTTTCCCTAGTTGTCACATTCCATATGATACAATTGAGCAAAACTATATGTCATAAGGATATGTAGTGCATCTTGACTTGATTATACAATAAGCATAAGAGACGTGAAGAAACATATGAAGGCACATTAACTATATTTGACATTGCTGCAAATAATCAAACTGTAAATCTTTTA